AGGTCAGGAGTTTAAGATCAACAGGATGAAACTCCATCTCTACTAAAAATACAAAAATTAGCTGGGCATGGTGGTGGGTGTCTGTAATTGGAGGTACTTGAGAGGTTGAGGAAGGAGAATCACTGGAACCCAGGAGGCGGCAAGATCCCACCATTGCACTCCAGCCTGAGTGGTAAGAGTGAAACTGTCTCAAAAAAAAAAAAAAAAAAAAAAAATCAGCGGCTTATGTATTTATTTTTTCATTTATTTCTTTAATCATCCCTTATTGTAGGCAAAGTACTTTTTACAAATTCCATATAATTCTTGCAAAAAACACAAATACTTTGAGCTAAGTATTTGTGTATATTTTCCAGATTATGTACTAGATAAAATGGCCACAAATTCTTTGTCGCTTCTCTCTCAAAGAGGTGGGGTCTAGCTCCCCTCCGCTTGAATCTTGTTGGACCCTGTGTCCTATCTCACTTGCCCAAGAGAATGCTACAAAAGTGGCATTCTGGGACTCCTGTAGCTGAAGATGCTTCTCTCTGAATCTCCTGAAATCTATTGGGTCAGGCATGGTGGCTCACGCCTGTAATCCCAGCACTTTGGGAGACCGAGGTGGGCAGATTGCTTTGAGCTCAGGAATTCAAGATCAGCCTGGGCAACATGGTGAGACTCCATCAAAAACAATACAGAAGACTCCTAAAAAAAAATACAAAAAATAATTAGGTGGGTGTGGCGGCAAGCCCCTGTAGTCCCAGTTACTTGGGAGGTTGAGGTAGGAGGATCAGGAAAGCAGAGGTTGCAGTGAGCTAAGATCACACCACTGTTGGGACTCTCCAAAGAATGCAGCTACCACACAGAAGTGGATTCCAAATGGAGAGATCATGTACAGATGCTCCAGATAACGGTGCAGGCCCACCCAGCTGATCCTGGTCAACCCACAGAATCATGACAGAAAGTAAACTTGTTTAGAGCCTTGAAGTTTGCGAGTGGTTTATTATGCAACAATAGAGAACTGGAGAGATGAGAAAGCTAAACATCAGATGATATTATTCCTGCTTCTGCAGCTGATAAAATAAAGGCCCAGAGAAGTTAAATAACTTACCTGAGGTCACATAGCTAAGGAGCCGATGGAGGAGTTAGTGGGCCTTTCTCCATATCTCACTCCCAAACTAAGTGCTTACAAGTATGTGGGACGTTAGGATGGGGATGTCTTTTTTTCTTTTTTGTGTAATTTTCAACTACCCACCTGCTAGACCCAAGCCTCACCCCTGCCTTCCATGTGCCTGAGCAGGACCACCTGCATTGAACTGTGATGCCAGTGAGATATGAATGCTTATGGTGCTAAGCCACTGGGATTTTAGGGTTTATCTGTATCACCTCTTAACTCATGCATCTTTTTTTTTTTTTTTGAGACAGAGTCTTGCTCTGTTGCCCAGGCTGGAGTGCAGTGGGGCGATCTTGGCTCACCACAACCTCCATCTCCCAGGTTCAAGCGATTCTTGTGTCTCAGCCTCCAGAGTAGCTGGGACTACAGGTGTTTACCACCACACTGTACTTTTTTTTTTTTTTTGGAGATGGAATCTTGCACTCACCCAGGCTGGAGTGCAGTGGCACAATCTTGGCTCACCACAACCTCCATCTCCTGGGTTCAAGTGATTCTCCTGCTTCAGCCTCCCGAGTAGCTGGGACTACAGGCATGTGCCACCATGCCCGGCTAATTATTTTGTATTTTTAGTAGAGATGGTGTTTCTACATGTTGGCCAGGCAAACTCCTGATCTCAGGTGATCCATCTGCTTCGGCCTCCCAAAGTGCTGGGATAATAGGCATAAGCCACCATTCCTGGCCTGATTTTTGTATTTTTAGTAGAGACTGGTTTCGCCATGCTGGCCAGGCCATTCTGGATCTTCTGGCCTCAAGTGATCTTTCCCACCTCGGCCTCTCAAAGTGCTGGGATTACAGGTGTGGGCCACTGCACCTAGCCCAATTTTGTTTTTAATGGAAGAAGGATCAAACGGATGAATCTTGTGTCTATTTCCCCTAGCACACTTGACAACTTTGGAGGACAGGGCATCTACCTTCTTCCTGCCTGCAAAGTCTCTGAACTTCCCCCACATCTACTAACATTTTCTTTTTTTTTGAGCCGGAGTTTTACTCTTGTTACCCAGGCTGGAGTGCAATGGCGCGATCTCGGCTCACCGCAACCTCCGTCTCCTGGGTTCAAGCAATTCTCCTGCCTCAGCCTCCTGAGTAGCTGAGACTACAGGCACACGCCACCATGCCCAGCTAATTTTTGTATTTTTAGTAGAAACGGGGTTTCACCATGTTGACCAGTATGGTCTCGATCTCTTGACCTCGTGATCCACCCGCCTCGGCCTCCCAAAGTGCTGGGATTATAGGCTTGAGCCACCGCGCCTGGCCACATTTTCTTTATTATATCATACCTAACATTATTACCAAATTATTTCAGTTTGTAATATGTGTATCTACATCTAGTTCATGCTAATTGTATAATTAGCATCTGTGATTATTCGACTGGTCTGGTTCCCCCACCAGGCTGTGGGCCATGACTGAGAGTGGCCTTGCCTAGTATAAGGGTGTCACTCAGATGTACGGAGCAGCAGCCAAGTCTCCAGGAGCCTCAGTGACTCAGAGGCCTGGAGTCTCTTCTGTGGCCACAGGGTTCCCACTTTCATGAGCAGAGATTATGCAAAGGTGACCTCTACTGACCAAAGGAAGAAATGGCTTTTTACACCCCCTGTTACTGCAGTTCAGCAAAATGACTAACAGTCACCGCTGTCGGCCAGGCACTTGGCATGGATTATTATGCCGTCATTCTTGCATTTTTAATGTCTGTATCTACAAAGTGGGCTTCATCAGCCCCGCTTTATAGGAGAAAATGGAAGTTCAGAGAAGAGAAGTAACTCCCTGAGTTCTCACACTGTAAGAGGCATTGCTAGGATTCAAGCCAGGTCTGTCGGATGCCAAGGATTCTGTCCACGAGGCACCTGTTACTCAAAAATGTGGCCCAGGAATCACCAGAGCATTGGCATCTCTGGGAGTGTTAGCGATGCAGACCTCAGGCCCCACTCCAGACCTAGTGAATCAAAATTTGTAGCTCAAGGAGAGCCCCCAGGGGATTTGCGATAATCGTGTGCACTTGTGTATATGTTAAAGCCTTAGAAACACCTTGACTCCGGCTGGGCGCGGTGGCTCACGCCTATAATCCCAGCACTTTGGGAGGCCAAGGTGGGGTGGATCACGAGGTCAAGAGATCGAGACCATCCTGGTCAACAAGGTGAAACCCCGTCTCTACTAAAAATACAAAAATTAGCTGGGCATGGTGGTGCGTGCCTGTAGTCCCAGCTACTCGGGAGGCTGAGGCAGGACAATCGCTTGAACCCAGGAGGTGGAGGTTGCGGTGAGCCGAGATTGTGCCATTGCACTCCAGTCTGGGTAACAAGAGCGAAACTCCGTCTCAAAAACAAAACAAAACAAAACAAAAAAAACACCTTGACTCCCAGGAGGTGGCAGGGAAACCCCAACATGGGTCCTTTTGGGAAGAAGATGAATTTATATATTCCTTTTATTTTCTTTTTTTTTTGAGACAGGATCTTGCTCTGTCATCCAGGGTGGAATGGATGAATTTGGCTGTTTGCACTTGGAGCATGCCTTTGGCATAGATGCATCCTTTCCTTCCTTCAGTTCAGAGAAGGTGAAACCCAACCTCCAGTTATTTGCCCCCTAGTCAGGCCCAAAGCCTAAAGCCCAAACTCAACTTACCCTTGGGGCCCTTCTGAAGTGTTTCTTCCTTGCAGGGTGAGTCCCTCACTTTTACTAGGGGTTGGATGCTGATCTTCATCTGAGTGTGGCTGGAGCAGAGAAGGGAAGTGTGGTGAGAGATGAGCTTGTTAGACTTGACCCTAAAGGCAAGGGGGAGTCACTGGAGCCTCTCACATGTAGTCACTGTCTGCCCACCTTGGCCATTTTTCAGTTCCTGTAGTCCTGTTTTTCCCAGATCAGGGCCTTTGTACATGCAGCTTCCACTGCTTGGCAAAGTCTCCCCACCGCTCTTCACTAATTCCTACTCATCATTCACAGGCTAGCTCAAACATCACCTCCTCCAGGAAGTCTTCCTCGACTCCCCAGACACGTTCAAGACGTAACACACTGTATTTTCCTTCCGTGGCACTTACCACAATTTGGAGGTGTATATTTGTGTCACTGCTTGCTTAGCATCAGTCTTCCCAAAATTAGGCTGGGAGCAGTGCTGGAATCTGTTTTGCTGGTTCTGTTCTTTTCTCTTTCTTTCTGAGATGGGGTTTCACCATACTGGCCAGGTTGGTCTTGAACGCCTGATCACATGATCCTCCTGCTTTGGCCTCCCAAAGTGCTGGCTGGGATTACAGGCATGTGCCACCACACCTGGGTTATTTTTCTATTTTTAGTGGAGATGGGTTTCACCACATTGGCCAGGATGGTCTCGAACTCCTGACCTCAGGTGACCCTCCTACCTCGGCCTCCCAATGTGCTGGGATTCTAGGAGTGAGTCACTGCACCTGGCCTTCACTGGTTTTCTTGCCAGCATGGAGTGTAGCGACTGCTGGCTCCAGAACCAGGGCACCTGGGACCTGATCAACACAGGCCTTTGAAAAGATGGCAGTGGATACTCAGGAGTTTGAAGCTCTTGCTAAGATTTGAAGTCAGAGTGACAGTCTGAGGCCACAAAGGCGCAGGAAAGACATAGCAAGGGCTTGAGTCAAGGCAGAGGTCACAGGACTGGGACTGGGACTGTGATATGTTCCTAAGTCATTGGGGAAGGACAGGTAGAATGGGGAAGAAAGCAGGGGTGGCAAGAGCCACTTGCAGGTTCCTGCTTGGTAAAGGGAGCATGGCGGTGCCATTCCTGAGATGGGGGTCAGAGACGATGATGTGCCATCTATACCTCCCACCTCAGCCCTTCTTCCTCCTGGCAGTGGCCTGGACTCTGTCCCCAGGACCAGACACTGGACACAGCTCAGCAGCACAAATCCCTTTTATTAACCATCTTCCCTTTCCCGAGGACGCACAAGTAGAAAATGAACAGTGAAGAACCCCGACAGGGAGGGTGGGGAGAGGATGTGAGGGAGCTCCTGAGGTGAGGCCAAGAGGTCAGATTCCAGCTCCTTTTCCCGACGGGTCCATCTCTGTGCAATGACTCCCTTAACATCCCCCAACCCCTGAAACAGCACTGGAGGACTGCAGCCCTGCTGACCAGGCTGTCCTCCTGGCCCTGTCAGGGCAGGTGCTGGCAGAGCTTGGGGCTGTGCCGGAGGCTGATAGAAGACAGCAGCACACTGGGTCTGGCCCTGGGGGCAGAGATCAGGCACCAGGAATGGATGTGAAAAAAGGCTGCTTATCCATCTGGGGACTGGATAGAAACCCGCCAGCCTCCAACCAGCTTCTGCTTCTTAGATGGGCCTGCCCTGAGTGGTGGGAGGCTGGGCAGGGACTCCCTCTCATACCCTGTACAGAGGTTTTGGGGAAGAGGGGCCAAGGAAAGGCGAGGGGCTCTAGGTGTAGGAGGAAGCCTGACTGGTGCCTGGGATTGGCCAAAGTGAGAGGGGGCAGCTGAGGGGCTAGGTGGTCAAAACGGGAATGTAGTGTGAGGTGGGAGGTGGGGAGATAGCATATCTCTACACACTGCCTGAATATCACACAGTCTGATTATCAATGTGGCTGGCTGCTGAGGCCAGGCCTAATGGACATGTGTTGCTGAGGAGTCTGATGAGAGAGCCCCTGCTGCCCCTAATTATGTGCATGGGAGAGACTGAGCTACACAGTGAAATGGGATGGGAGGTGAAGAGGTGATGGGGTAAGTGGGAAGGAAGGAGCAGACAAGATCCAGACCGGAAGGGAAACTTCCAGGCCAGTGTGGCAGGCTCAAATGTTGCCCATCAGTGACAACCCAGTTGCCTTTTTTTTGTTTTTTAGACAGGGTCTTTCTCTGTTGCCAGGTGCTAGGATGGAGTGCAGTGGCGTGATCTCGGCTCACTGCATGTTGCCTCCTGGGTTCAAGCAATTCTCCTGCCTCAGCCTCCCAAGTCGCTGGGACTATAGGCATGCGCCACCATGCCCAGCTAATTTTTGTATTTTAGTTTCACCATGTTGGCCAGGATGGTCTTGATCTCTTGACCTTGTGATCCACCCGCCTTGACCTCCCAAAGTGCTGGGATTACAGGCGTGAGCCACCGTGCCCGGCTTTTTTTTTTTTTGAGATGGAGTTTCACTCTTGTTGTCCAGGCTGGAGTGCAGTGGCGTGACCACAGCTCATTACAACCTCTGCCTCCTGGGTTCAAGTGTTTCTCCTATATCAGCCTCCCAAGTAGCTGGGATTATAGGTGCCCGCCACCACACCCGGCTAATTTTTTTAATTTTTAGTAACGACAGGGTTTTGCCATGTTGGCCAGGCTGGTCTCGAACTCCTGACCTCAAGTTATCTGCCCACCTTGGCCTCCCAAAGTGTTGGGATTACAGGCATGAGCCACTGCGCCTGGCCCTGCCGTTTTTTTTTTCATCTCTGGGTGGTCAGGCTAGGGTTGGTGTGGAAGGAAGCAGGGAGAAGCGAAACCATCACTGAAAAAGGTGTCAGAGAGGTACACCCTGATTCTGAGCAGCCTAACCCACACAGAGGATTCCCAGCCTTCTCCATCACCAACCCTGGAGCCTCTGAAAAGAAGGGCCCATCTCAGAAAAAAAAGCAGACGCTCCCCGACCTTATTGGGAAAGCGAACAGAGGAAATACTCACAGCACCATGGCACGGGATGGCCCTTGGCTTCAGAGCTGGGCTGGCACCGTTTGTAAACATTAGACCTGCTGATGTCTGGGGATGGAGGAGGAGAGGTATGCGCAGCCTGGACCATCAGGTTTGGTGAAAGAGACAGGTGAGGCTCCACAAGGCCTGGGAAATGTTCAGTTAGCTATTGGAAACAGGCTGACAGGCCTGGGAAATGTCCATTAGCTATGGGAAAGAGGCTGACAAGCCTGGGAAATGTCCATTAACTATGGGAAAGAGGCTGACAGGCCTGGGAAATGTCCATTAGCTATGGGAAAGAAGCTGACAGGTTCATGACGGGGAGGCCCAGGAAGGTGTGGACAAGGCCTGAATCTACCTGACTGTGCATTTATATGACTTCAGTGCTACCTTTGGAAATTGCCAGATTCCAGAGGAAGCTACCACTGACCCTGGGGTAATGAGTACAGCTCCTACTCAGGACAGGGTGCTCTGTGGAGGACGGTGGCCTTCTGTTCATAGTGTTCTCCAGAGGGAAGTCAGACTGGATTCTTTCTTATGAGATCTACTGACTGTCTTCACCCATGGATTCCAGGAATGGAAAAGCTGAGAACCAGGAGAGGAGGAAGGTTCCTCTATGACGTGAAATTTCCTGCCACCATCCACGGCACTGCCAGGACTGGAGAGCAGAAAGGGGACTGGGTTGAGCTGTTCAGAGGTATGGGGCCTGAGTTTGCCCCAGTCCCTGCAAGAGGATGTCCAAATGTCATCCCACCAGCTGGAATGATCGTGGACTAAGAATGGCCCCATAGCGCTAAGCAATGGGTTCCTGGGACCAATGGCAAAGGCCATATATTCCCTGGGAGGCAGCGGTTATGACAACAGATCCATAAAGATGGCGTTGGTTGTGGTCTGGCCGAAGATGAAGGCTCCCAGGGTGACCAAGAGGACTCCGTAGCTGACCAGCACCCACCAGCTGTAGAACAGGGTGAGAGAGGTCTGATCAGTCATCCCGACTTCAATATAAAACTGTTAATTACCATAATTATCCCACTTCTCCTGTTGGTAGAGCACTTCCTACTCCCAAAGACTTCACTTTAGAGGTATATGGGGCCAGGTACATTGTCCCTAGTCCACAGGTAAGAAGACCAAGATTTAATAGGAGTAACTGATTGGTCACATCATGCCAGGATTCGAATGTAGGTATCTCATGAGGCCAAGGAGTTTAAGACAGGCCTGCGCAACAAGGTAAAAGACTGTCTCTACAAAAAATAAAATAAGTAGCTGGGTATAATGGTGCATGCCTGTAGTTGCCACTAGCTGCGAGCCTGAGGTGAGAGGATCATTCGAGCCTAGGAGTTGAGGCTGCGGTGAGCTATGACTGCACCACTGCACTCTAGACTGAGACTCTAGTCTAGAGACTCCACTCTAGAGACAAAGTCAGACTCTGTCTCTAAAAAAGTTTTTTTTTTTTTTTTTGAGATGGACTTTCACGCTTGTTACCCAGGCTGGAGTACAATGGCACGATCTCGGCTCACCGCAACCTCCGCCTCCTGGGTTCAGGCAATTCTCCTGCCTCCGCCTCCTGAGTAGCTGAGATTACAGGCACGCGCCACCATGCCCAGCTAATTTTTTGTACTAAAAAAGTAGAGACGGGGTTTCACCATGTTGACCAGGATGGTCTCAATCTCTTGACCTCGTAATCCACCCACCTCGGCCTCCCAAAGTGCTGGGATTACAGGCTTGAGCCACTGCGCCCGGCCTAAAAAGGTTGTTTTAGAGACAAAGTTTCACTCTCATTGCCCAGGCTGGAGTGCAATGGCAAATCTTGGCTCACTGCAAACTCCGCCCCTTGAGTTCAAGTGATTCTCTTGCCTCAGCTTCTCAAGTAGCTGGGATTGTAGGTGTGCACCACCATGCATGGCTAATTTTGTAGTTTTAGTAGAGACATGGTTTCACCATATTGGTCAGGCTGATCTTGAACTCCTGACCTCAAGTGATCCACCTGCCTCGGCCTCCCAAAGTGCTGGGATTACAGGTGTGAACCACAGTGCCTGGCCAAAAATATTTTTTTAATTTTTAATTTTTTTGTCTCCTAAGACTGTCATTCAATCTTCTTTAAAAAAATAAAATAGGCTGGGTGCAGTGGCTCACATATATAAATCCTAGCACTTTGGGAGCCCGAGGTAGGTGGATCACTTGAGGTCAATAGTTTGATACCAGCCTGGTCAACATGGTGAAACCCCATCTCCACCAAAAGTATAAAAAAATTAGCCAGATATGGTGGCACATGCCTGTAGCACCAGCTACTCAGGAGGCTGAGGCAGGAGAATTGCTTGAACTTGGGACGTGGAGGTTGCAGTGAGCCGAGACTGCGCCACTGTAGTCCAGCCTGGTGACAGAGCAAGACTCCATCTCAAAAATATTTTATGTTTTTTAGAGATGGGGTTTCACCATGTTGACCAGGATGGTCTCCATCTCCTGACCCTGTGATCCGTCTTCCTTGGCCTCCCAAAGTGCTGGGACTATAGGTGTGAGCCACTGTGCCCGGCCCCTCAAAAATAAATAAATAAAATAAAATATTTTTAAAAGCTGCAGATATTCTAATACTGATGCAGGTAAGTAAAAAAAAGCAAGTGGCAGGCCAGACATAGGGGCTCAGGCTTGTAATCCCAGCTCTTTGGGAGGCTGAGGCAGGAGGATCACTTGAGTTCAGGAGTGCAAGACCAGCCTAGGTAACAGAGTGAGACCCTGTCTTGGGAAGAAGAACAGTGAAACAGTGTTGAGGGGAAGCTCAGTCCTTGTTTTTATATATGGCCTTTGAAGATCAAAACTATCTTTTTTTTTTCCTGGCCTTTAAGCTGTCCATAAGTTAAAAAAAAAACTGGCCAGGCACGGTGGCTCACATTTGTAATCCCAGCACTTTGGGAGGCTGAGGCAGAAAAATCGCGAGGTCAGGAGTTTAAGACCAGCCTGGCAAACAAAGTGAAACCCCATTTCTCCTAAAAATACAAAATTAGGCCAGGCATGGTGGCTCACGCCTGTAATCCCAGCACCTGGGGAGGCTGAGGCGGGAGGATCACAACCAGTCAGGAGTTCACAAGCAGCTTGACCAATATCGTGAAACACCGTCTCTACTAAAAACACACATAAAAAATTAGCCAGGTGTGGCAGCATATGCCTGTAGTCCCAGCTGCTTGAGAGGCTGAGGCAGAAGAATCACTTGAACCTGGGAGGTGGAGGTTTCAGTGAGCCGAAATCCTGCCACTGCACTCCAGCCTGGGTGACAGAGCAAGACTCCACCTGGGCGACAGATAGAGGCTCTGTCTCAAAAACTAAAAAACAAAATTAGCTGGATGTGGTGGCATGTGCCTGTAATTCCAGCTACTCGGGAGCTGAGGGAGGAGAATCACTTGAACCTGGGAGGTAGAAATTGGTGAGCTGAGATCACGCCATTGCACTCTAGCCTGAGCAAAAAGAGCAAAACTCCATCTCAAAAAAAAAAAAAAAAAAAAAAAGCATGTGGGTTACTTCAATCAGTAACTACTGTTCTACTCTTAGACAGGGGGTGGGGGACTCTCTGAGCTCATCACCTAGACAAGAGGGAAAAAGAACAAGCATTGGGAAGGCAAGAGAATTAACTGAGTCTATACAATACTGATTTTAAGCCCAGAAAAAGCAGATTGGTATGGACTGGCATTGGTCAGTGGAGGGATGTGGAAGAGGAGGCTGGAAAGAGCTGATAGCCAGAAAGGGCTGAGAGAAGCCCAGGAGCCAGGTCCTGTTGAAGGGCAGGGGATCATTACAGAGGCTGTGGGACGAATTACAGGAGCTGGGGAGGCGGGTCTGGGTCTGAGGCAATGGGGGTGTAGGCTGAGAAAGGTGGGGTAAGAGCTTTAAGAAAACCTGTTTGAATGTGGTATGGAACTGCAAGGGGTGGAGACCCGACTGGAAACCGGAACAAAGGGACCAGAACAGGAAAGCTAAACCTGAACCTGAAACCATTTTTTTGAGACGGAGTTTTGCTTTTGTCTCCCAAGCTGGAGTGCAATGGCGCGATTTCAGCTGCAACTTCCAACTCCCAGGTTCAAGTGATTCTCCTGCCTCACCTTCCCAAGTAACTGGAATACAGGTGCCCACCACTATGCCCACCTAATTTTTTGTATTTTTAGTAGAGACAGGGTTTCACCATGTTGGCCAGGGTGGTCTTGAACTCCTGACCTCAGGTGATCCACCCACCTGGGCTTCCCAAAGTACTGGGATTATGGGCATGGGCCACTGCACCCGGCTGAAACCATTTTTCATAAAACAAAACAAGAGCCCTGCATCTGTGTATAATCAGCATAGCTATGTGTACACAGACACGCACACAGGTACAACAGTGGTTGAGAAGGACACAGACCATACTGGTAACATGGAGCTATCTCAGGAGAAGGGATGCTGGGGTGAGGGGGTTGTGGGAGAAGACGGACTTCCATCTTTTTCTGTTAAGCCCTTTATTAATGTTTAAATTGTTAACAACTAGCACACTACCCAATCTTCTAAAGTATTTTAAAAAAACAGGCTGGGCGTGGTGGCTAACGCCTGTAATCCCAGCACTTTGGGAGGCCGAGGCGGGTGGATCCCGAGGTCAAGAGATCAAGACCCTCCTGGTCAACATGGTGAAACCCCGTCTTTACTAAAAATACAAAAAATTAGCTGGGCATGGTGGCGCGTGCCTGTAATCCCAGCTACTCAGGAGGCCGAAGCAGGAGAATTGCCTGAACCCAGGAGGCGGAGGTTGCGGTGAGCCGAGATCGCGTCATTGCACTCCAGCCTGGGTAACAAGAGCAAAACTCCGTCTCAAAAAAACAAACAAACAAAAAAAAAAACAACCCAGCTGGGTGCAGTGGCTCACGCCTGTCATCCCAGCACTTTGGGAGGCCGAGATGGGAGGATCACCTAAGGTCAGGAGTTTGAGACCAGCCTGGCCTACACGGTGAAACCCTGTCTCTACTAAAAATACAAAAATTAGCCAGGCATGGTGGCAGGTGCCAGTAATCCCAGCTACTCCAGAGATTGAGGCAGGAGAATCACTGGAACCCGGGAGGTGGAGGTTGCAGTGAGCTGAGACCGTGCCACTGCACTCCAGCCTGGGTGACAAAGCGAAACTCCGTCTCAAAACAAAAAGAAACAAAGAAAACCCAAAAACGAATGATTTCTCAGTACACAAGCCTGTGATTTTTGCCTATTTTAAGGCCCCCACAAAGCCACGTTCCAATCCAGTGCCTCCCTAAGAGGACCAAGGGCTGGGCCCTGCTTTACCTGGCTGGTTTGACCTCCTCCATCTCAGAGAGTTTGGCTTGAATGAGGCACAGCCCTAGAAGAGAAGAAGTGGCCCTGAGCATTTGTGAGGGGAGAGGGCTCCCTCCCTCCTAACCTCCCACTTTCCCAAGAAGCAGTGCTAGATGGAGAAAGGCCCATCTTACAGAGATTCCACCTCTGCCCCCACACCACATCCACCTGGGGAGGTCTGGCATCTGCCCTCCCATGACAGCCTGCATTAGACAAGACTAGCAGCATGCTAGATTCAGAGCTAAAGGGACAGCACTGAATGGCGACTCAGTGGTGGCCCAACCCTAGGGGTTTTCCTAGTACACTTCCCAGAATATCTGATTCCCCTGCTCCAAGCAAAGTAGCTGGGGCTTTGAAGGTGACTTCCTGGATAGAGATAAGCTGGGTAAGGGTGAAACTCAGGACTGGGCAGACAGGACAGTTTTCCAGGTATCTGGTGGTAGATCTGTGTCTGGAACCCACGTACCCTGATGTCTGTGTCAGGGTGCCACTCCCAGACCCCACTACCCTCTGGGCTGTAATGTGCTGAATCAGCTAGACACCTAATAGTCAGGGTGCAGCAGACACTTGAATGAAGGGTTAAGAGAATAGACTCTGGACCCAGACAGCATGGGATGGAAAAAGTTTGTTACTAGTTGAGTTTGTTAAGTGCTAGGCAAGTCTGTGGCCCTTTCTGAGCCCCATGTGCCATCAGTAAATTGGAGATAAGAACCATACCTTCTTTCCAGGAGATAGTGCTTGGACAGGGGTTAGCACAGAGGCGAGGTGGGGGACCAATTAGTGCTGGTGGTTACTCTCTCCTGCGTGTTATGAGCAGGTAGGGGGCTGAGGCTAGGGAGGCCCTGGGAGTTTGTGCCATGGGGCTGTGAGATGGGGCGCCAGGGGTCCGCACCTGGGAAGACGAAGATGAAGCAGGCGGCCAGGCCTCCAATGACTGAGATCACCTTGCCGATGTCAGGAATGAAGAGCGCCAGCAGCAGGGTGAGCAGGAACCAGACCAGTGTCTGCAGCACTCGCCGCCGCCGCTCCCGCCCCACGTCCTCCTCCACTGGCACCCCCTGGTAGCGCAGCCACAGGCCTTCCACCACCGCCCTGCCCACATGGAGAGGAGCTTAGAGGTATCCCTGCTAGCAGGCCCCCACCTCTAGCTCACAGGGGCCAGACCCCTAACTGGGTAGACTGTGGGGAAAGTCCCATTCCTGCAGGGAAAGCCTGCACTCTGTTTACCATGGGGACTAGAGGAGATGGTGAAGGTGGAGAGCTTAGTACTTTGTCTGGGGTCTCCAAAGGGCTGGGTGTCCATGTGAGAGCTCAGGAAAGGATCTGGATAGAGATTCTTTTGTTTGTTTTTGGGACAGGGTCTGGCTGTCTCACCCAGGCTGGAGTGCAGTGGTGCAACCTCAGCTCACTGCAGCCTTGAACTCCTGGGCTCCAGCCATCCTTCTGCCTCAACCTCCGAAGTGGCTGAGCAGCTGGGACCACAGGTGCATGCCACCACAGCTGGCTATTTATTTTATTTTGTGTAGAGATGGGGTCTTACTAAGTTGCCCCGGTGGTCTGGAACTCCTGGGTTCAAGTGATCCTCCTGCCTCAGCCTCCCATAGTCCTGGGAATAGAGGCATGAACCACCTCGCCATGCCCTGGATAGATTCTAACAGGATTCATGGAATGTGCTTGTGACCTTGGGACAAAGGGGACTTCTGAGACCTGGCCTGGGATACATAGGGGCCCATCCTAGGCGCCAACTCTTTTTTTTTTTGAGACAGAGTCTCACTTTGTCACCCAGGCTGGAGTGCAGTGGCGCAATCTTGACTCACTGAAACCTCCGCCTCCCAGATTCAAGCAATTCTCTGCCTCAGCCTCCCGAGTAGTTGGGATTACAGGTGCTAGCCACCATGACCAGCTAATTTTTGTATTTTTAGTAGAGATGGGATTTCACCATCTTGCCAGGTTGGTTTTTAACTCCTAACCTCGTGATTCACCCACCTCAGCCTCCCAAAGTGCTGGTATTACAGGCGTGAGCTACCACGCCTGGCCGCACCGACTCTTTTCTACATGCTTCAGTTTCTCCTTCTACAGGATGTGGTCCACACAAGGCCAAAGGACCGCATTGGAAGGGCTCACAGGGGCTTGGAGGCGGCCTGGGGAGTGGGAGGGGCTTACCGCCCACTGAAGTGCAGGATGGGGTAGGAGGTGAGCACACTCAGGATGATGAAGGCTCGGGCAACGGCCACAGCCATGTCCTCAGAGGAGGAACATGAGGCCAAAGGACCACATTGGAAGGGCTCACAGGGGCTTGGAGGTACCCTGGGGAGTGGGAGGGGCTTACCGCCCACAGAAGTGCAGGATGGGGTAGGAGGTGAGCACACTCAGGATGATGAAGGCTCAGGCAACGGCCACAGCCATGTCCTCAGAGGAGGAACATGAGGCCAAAGGACCACATTGGAAGGGCTCACAGGGGCTTGGAGGTACCCTGGGGAGTGGGAGGGGCTTACCGCCCACAGAAGTGCAGGATGGGGTAGGAGGTGAGCACACTCAGGATGATGAAGGCTCGGGCAACGGCCACAGCCATGTCCTCAGAGGGGTAGGACAGGAGCACGTCAGGATCCACAGCAGCTCCAAAGGTCAGGAAGCCACAGATGCCTGTGGGCAGGGACAGGTGGGCTGGGTCAAGGCAATCCTGGGAGGGCAGTGAGGTGTCTTCCTAGGGGCAACATCATCTGGGAGGCTGCTACAGCAGCTCTGGATGCTTAGAGGGAGGCTGAGAGCTGTAGTCGGACCTCTGGTCAGATGCTTCCCTCCCTGACTTCTCATATCCCCCCTCGCTGGAAGCCCTGCAGCCCCCAGCTTTCCGATCTTGATTTTGCCCAGTGCATTCCCACCTCGGTGCCTTGACACTGACTGTTCTGCCTGGCCGAGCTTCAGGCTGCCATCTCGTCATCATTCGGGTCTCAGCTTAGCTGTCCTTCCTCAGAGAATGCTTCCTCCCAGTCCATCACAATGACCCCACCCCAGGCACTCACATTGCCCGGTCCTATTTTTCTTTCCTTTTTTTTTTTAAAGACAAGAGTCTTGCTCTGTTACCCAGACTGGAGTGCAGTATTGTGATCATGGCTAACTGTGGCCCTGACCTCCTTGGCTCAAGTGATCCTCCCACCCCGGCCTTCCAGGTAGCTAGGACTACAGGCAGATGCCACCACACCCAGCTAAATTTTTGTAGAGACAGGGTCTTGCTATGTTGCCCAGTTTGGTCTTGAATTCCTGGGCTCAAGCAATCCTCCTACTTCAGCCTCCCAAAGTGTGAGCCACGGCCTTTTTTTTTTTTTGAGATGGGGTTTTGCTCTTGTTGCCCAGGCTGGAGTGCAGTGGTGCAATATCAGCTCAGCATAACCTCCGCCTCCTGGGTTTAAGCGATTCTCCTGCCTCAGCCTCCCAAGTAGCTGGGATTATAGGCACCTGCCACCACACCCAGCTAATTTTTGTATTTTTAGTAGAGATGGGGTTTCTCCATGTTAGCCAGGCTGGTCTCCAACTCCTGACCCCAGGTGATCTGCCCACCTTGGCTTCCCGTAGTGCTGGGATTATAGGCATGAGCCACCGCACCTGGCCATTTTTTTTTTTTTTTTAACTGGCTTACTGTCTGTCTCCCCAGCCACAACATGAGCCCCAGGAGAATAGGGATTTGGCTGTCTGCCTCTCTTGTTCCTGGCTGTGTATTCAGAGGCCAGAACAGTACTGGCCCAGGCAGCTCCTATGACCCATCTGTGGAAAGAACCGCAGGGGACTCTTCTTCTAGACTTGCTCCCTCATCCCAGCCACTCTTCACACCGCAGCCAGAGCCATCTTTCCCTGAACCACTCCCCTGCTTACAACACTTCCTCTCTGACTCCCAGCCATCCTTAAGGCCCAACAGGATCTGGTTGCCAGTGCCTGTCTGGCCTCACTGCCTGTCATCTGCCCTCATCTCACACCACTCCAGCCATGCAGACCTTCTTCCTGGCCCTGCTTCAGTGATTTTGTGTTTTGTGGTTCCTCCGCTAGAACCCTTCTCCCCCAGCTCCTCCTCTTCTGGCTCTTTCTCATCATGTGGGCCTCCTCTGAGAAGAACCTTCTGTGAACCACTCCCAAAGCTACCCACCCAGACCCATTCACGCCTTCCTTGTTTTAAGCTGGGTTTGGTAGCTCATACCTATAATCCCAGAACTTTGGGAGGCTGAGGCAGGAGAATTGCTTGGACCCAGGAATTCAAGGGCAGCCTGGGGAATATATAGTAAGACCCTGTCTCTGCTAAAAATAAAAGAAATTAGCTGGGCATGTGGCACATGACTGTAGTCCCAGCTACTCTGGAGGCTGAGGCAGGAGGATCACTTGAATTCGGGAGGTTAAGGCTGCAGTGAGCTATGATTATGTCACTGCACTCCAGCCCGGGCAACAGAGTCAGATCTTTTCTCAAAACAAAACAAAATAGAACAAAACAAAACAAAACACACCTTCCCTATTTCACTGTCATCAGGATGCTTGCCACCATTTGGAATTCTTTTATTTTATTTTTTAAAGATGGGGTTTCACCATGTTGGTCAGGCTGGTCTTGAACTCCTGACCTCAGGTGACCCACTTGCCTTGGCCTCCAAAGTGCTTGGATTACAGGCGTGAGCCACCACACCTGGCCACTGGACTTCCTTACTGATTCCCTAGTTAATCCTGCATGACTGTCCCTCCAACAATAATGCCAATTCCATGAGGGTAAGACCAGGCCTATCTATCTCCATGGCATCCCTGACGCTGAGAACAGTTCCTGGCACTTCCTAGGCACCAGCTTAGAACTGGTGAATGAATGGATGAATGGGGGAGGCCCCAGGCAGGCCAAGTTCAAGCCAATGCCTATGCAAGTCATGCTGGGAATACAAAGCTGTTCCCAGGAAAGCTGGGCCCCAGGACCTAGGGATTCCTGTGGAAGTGAGAGCACTCTAGTCCCAGCCCTAGGAGGGGAGCACTCACCTGTCCCCATGTAGACAGCCAGGGCTATGACCATGGCAGCTGTCACCACTCCACCCCAGGTCTTCACTTCGGGCCGCTGCATGCTGTTGAAGACGGGCACACTGCTGACGTGGCACTGTCCAGGTGAAGGGCATGGTCATGGTGGGGAAATGATCTCATCCCCAGTTTCCAGAGGAAGGTACCTTGGGAACAAAGACCCCAGGGACAAGGGAGAAGTCCTGAGGTCCCTGTTCCAACCTTCCCCACAGGATTTTCTCCATCCTGCCTGGGTTCCATCCCGGGGTGGGGTGACCTAAGGGGACAGCAGGGACCTTGCAACTGGCACTGGCACCTGAAATCCGAAGCAGATGGTGGGCATGGCATTGAACACGGCCATCCAGGAAGCCGGGCTGTGAACAAACACACAAGATGCTGCCGCCTGGGACCCCTCAGAGCCACCAAGCCACCCCATGCCCTCACTCTTCATTCCTCTCACCATGGTCTCCAGCAACTGGCATTTTATATGTTCGACCCACAGAAGTCTGGAAACGGAGAAGAGATATCTCCGTGTCCCAGGCCAGTAAACTGACGTTCAGAAAAGCCCCCCTGGGACCAAAATCCAGAATTCCTGGCTCCTGGACTAGGGCTTTTGCTTTACTGGTTTGCTCCTTTCAAAAAAAAAGGAAACTTTTTAAAAAAATTTATGTTATTTTAATTTTTTTAAAAAAGATGGGGTTTCACCATGTTGGCCAGGCTGGTCTTGAACTCATGACCTCAGGTGATCCACCTGTCTCAGCCTCCCAAAGTGTTGGGATTACAGGCATGAGCCACCATGCCCAGCCAACTTTTTTTTTTTTAAATGATAAATTCACCCTCAAAGATAAGCACATGCTGGAAAAATGGGCAATTCCACCCTCAGGTTCCTTCACAACCAAGGCCCAGCCTCACACTGGCTCATCCCTCAGAGGCAAAGTGCCTCTTGTCTCTGATTCTTGCTCTTCCCTCCATTAACAAGAGATCAGGGCCCTTTCCTTCTTCCTACAATGAACAGTCAGCATCCATGAGCTCAGGAGCCTTGAGAAGAGCACGTGTGTGGCCTTCTGGTTCCTGACCTAGCACCTGCTGGCGCCCAAGTGGCGGTTTCTTCCCCATGTCTCCCAGGGCCCTCACCCTCACCTGGTCAGTATATCCCCTGGGGTCATCTCTTTATCTGGCCAGATGTACTTGATGATAACGATGGCTGTGACATACCAGGTACCCACGACGCTCAGGAAGCTGCCGGGAAGGAGAGACTAAGTATCCTCATCCCTAGCTGCCTCTTATCTGATTCCACGCCTAGGGACATCCACCCTCAGCTCTAGTGACCACAAGTGTCCACTGAACAAACTGGGGACTATGCCAAGCAAAGACTCAGGAAATGGCTGAGAAATAAGTTTCAGAGAAACCTGCCACAGCTAGGAGGGAGCTGGTCAGGCAACAGGGGACCCAGTCAGCATCTCTGGCCATCAGGAATTGCTGGTTCGGCTCCATGGCTCAGAAATGGTGCAGAGAGCAGGGCACCAAAGCACACCTGGGGCTTGAATCAGGCAGCCCATCCTCTGAGCCTGGCCTTTGAGAACTACAAGATGCCAGAGGTACGAGGGTTGAGAGCACAAACGCATGTGTGTCAACATTTATGGGAGCCTTGGAGAGACCGGAGCATGGCCCCTTCACTTACAGACTGGGAAGCCTAGAATCCCATAGCTTTCCAGATACTGAGACAGGAAGCCAGTCTCCTCCCTTCATGCCAAGCTGCATGTAAGATGCTGCCATGCTGACAATCTCAAAGACCCAAATCCCTTCCTCCCAGGAAAATTCAGGAGGCTGCCTTCACATGCCCAGATACCACCTGTCCCTTCTTTGAAAGGACACTTAGAATTGAATCTCTCACGGATGCAAAAGGCTGCTGTCTCCTGTGATGGAGACAGAAAAGGGTAGTCTCATCTGAAAGCCTGCAAGCTCTGGTCCGCCCTGCCTTGCCTACTCTTGCTCCCCAAGGTGAGGTGACATGGAGGAGCAGCATTCCACAGTAGCCTTTGGGTCTACAGCTGCCCAGGATCACAGCTTCTGTCTGACCCAGGCTGGGGCCTCCAAACCTGGCATATTTCTGGAAGCCAATCTCCCTGGGGATGGAGAGGGGCAGGATGAAGAGGAAGGCAGTGAGGCTGATGGTGAACTTGCGGTCTGTGTACCAAGGGCCGCTGGCCCCCTCCGGCTCTTTCGCCATCACAGCTATAACTGCACAAGGAGGAAGGAGGAAATGTCAGGCCAGGCCACCATAGGATGTGGCTCTCCTGCTCTGCTGGGCCCTAGGACCTCCCTCTGCCTGGAGGGAGGATTCCCAGATGAATGCTGGGCCCAGGTAAGTTCTGGAGAGGTGTTCAGTGCCTTTTCCCTCCACCCCAGGATCCCTGAGGCAGATAAGAAGAGATGGGGTAGGAACTGAGGGAAAAGCTCACTCTTGTCCTGCTGGTCCCCGATGATGATTAGGAAGGCGATGCAGGTGCCAAAGGTGTAGACAGCGATGGCCACCTCACACAGCACACCTGTCAGCTTGCCACACACAGCCCACACCACCTCCTGGTAGGTCCTCTCATTGCTGGCCTGGGAGCAGTAGGCCAGGATGACAAGTCCACTGATGATGAAAACCAGCATGCCCTGCAGGCAGAGGCAGAACGAGAGCTTGTGGAAAAGGCCTGGCAGCAGAGGGCACCCTGGGCTTGCCTGGCGTTGACTGGGCAAGTGCCCAAACCGGGCTAGTGCCCAAACCGGGCTTGGCAAATCTCACAAGGAAAATTTTAAGAGACTGCTAGAGGATGCCGAGTTGAGATTTTCTTTAAAAACAAAACATTTTTGGCTGGGCATGGTGGATCACACCTCAGCACTTTGCGGGGGCTGAGGCAGGGGGATCATGAGGTCAGGAGTTCGAGACCAGCCTAGCCAACATAGTGAAACCCCATCTCTACTAAAAATACAAAAATTAGTCGGGTGTGGTGGCATGTGCCTGTAGTCCCAGCTACTTGGGAGGCTGAGGCAGGAGAATTGCTTGAACCTGGAAGGTGGAGGTTATAGTGAGCTGAGACCATGCCATTGCACTCCAGCCTGGGTGACAGAGTGAGACTTTGTCTCAAAACAAAAAACCAAAAAACCAAAAAACAAAAAGTTCTGTGAAAAATTGTAAACATACAAAAGCAAAGAGAATAGACCAGACATAGTGGCTTATGCCCGTAATCCCAGCACTTTGGGAGGCCGAGGCAGGAGAATCACTTGAAGTCAGGAGTTTGAGACCATCCTGGCCAACATGGTGAAACCCCATCTCTATGAAAAATACAAAAATTAGCTGGACGTGGTAGTGGGCACCTGCAATGCCAGCTACTTGGAAGGCTGAGGCAGCAGAATTGCTTGAAACTGGTTGGCAGAGACTGCAGTGAGCCAAGATTTGGCCACTGCACTCCAGCCTGGCCAAAGCAAGACTCTGTCTCAAAAAAAAAAAAAAAAAAAAAAAGTAAAGAGAATGGTATAAAGAATTGGCATGTATCTGTCACTCAGCTTCAAAAATGATTAATGCATGGCCAACTTGTTTCATCATTTCCCTCCCCTCCCACTCTGCAATTATTTTGAAGCCAATACGAGCTAGCTATCATATCATCAGTAAACATTTCAGTATGTAGTTCTAAAAGATAAAGGCCTTCTTTTTAAATGGAACAAAATCAGTGTTATGCCTAAAAAATTAGATAGGTAGTTGATGTTCAAATTTCTCTGATTGTAAGCAAGGCTTTTGAAGCCTCATTTGGGTCAGAGGAAAGAATACCAGAATAGATTAGTCATGTCTGCCATATGTGAGTCGGGGAGAGCGGTACATGTATCATGTATCACTTACTGGCCATCCCTGACCCAAAGCCTCCCTTTTGAGGCAAAGCGCCCATCTGAACTGCACCTCTGCCCTCCCGGCCAGTGCACTCACCATCTGCAGTGTGATGCCTGCTGCCATGCCTCCTGCAGTGCTGAAGGCTGCTGGGAAGTTGAGTAGCCCTGCGCCCAGGCAGGCGTTGACGACGATGAAGACGGCCCCAAGTGTGGAAGTGGTGCCTCTGTCTGGACCTCCAGGAGAGGCTTCCCACTCATTCTTGGGGGCTGTGTCCACACAGGGACTCTGTAGCAGCCGGGCCCGTTCCCCAGCATCTGTGCTCAAGCCCCACTCGCTGTAGTCACTGTTGATGCTGACCTGGGCCATGGCCCCGAGAGCCCTCTTCCTGCAAGGTCTGTGGGTTCTGCCTTATAACCACATGCCCCAGGCAGCCGAGCAATGACCACCTGTTTGGAGCTGTTAGCCCAGCACTCTTCTCAACCTAGATGGGACAAAGGCAGGCACTGCTGTTACCCTGAGATGGGGGAACTGGGGAACAAAAAGGTGAAATAACTTTCACAAGATCACATGGGTAGGATCCAAACCCAGGTATGCCTGTGTGCAGACAGTGCACTGGGTGCCAGAGTACAGGGAAACAGACCAGGTGCAAATCAGGCTTGCTTCAAGCATACAGACCCACAGGGTCAGTTAGATGTCAACATAAAATGGGTATTAACATATCAGCACTAGTGAGAGGCCCCATATTGGGCAGGTGTGTCATGGATAGACCTTATCTCATTCAAGCATTATGACGGTCTTGTGGTCAAAAGGTTCAAAGCAATTCCATCACTCACCCAGGGTCATATATTAGCAAATTGCACAGCAAGATTTGGATCAAGATCTGTCTGGCTTCCCAGCCTGTTTCCACACCACAAGGTCCCCAAAAGACCCCTTACCAAGAACTGGGATTCAACATATTACAGTCCAGCATGCCTCCCAGTGGCCTGGGGTCTAAATTCTGTGGCTTTTGAGGCCCTTCAAAATTCAGGCTAATTCTCAACTCTTCTCCCATGTGACTTCTACCACATGACAAGCCACCCCATGCCTGTCATGTTTGTGTATTCAAGAAAACAATGATTTATCCCATGCCTGGAATGCCAGCCACCCTTTTCAGTCCTATTTCTTCCCCATTTCCTGGGACACTCAATGAGTGTCCCTGTAGGGCCCCAGCACCACTCAGGCTGGTTTCTTCTCAGTACTCTCTCCTGTGCTGGCAACTCACTGGTCACTAGGCTTGCTCTCCATTACAAGGATCCAATGTCAAACATGCAGTGCTGTTTATTACTATAAGCCACTATTGCTGCGGCTATGGAATGTTTTATCATTCAATCCTCAACGTACTCTTAAAAAGTAGACATGACAGTCAACATTTTACCAAAGAAGAGGCTGGATCCCAGAGGGGATAACCACTCTCCCCTCAGTCATACAGTGGTCAATAGCGGAGCTGGGATTCAAACCCAGGCTTGTCTGACTGTAGGGCATCCATCTGTTTGTATGTGCCCCACTCTTGGGTCCAAGATGGTACCTTGGGCATGGCTGAACTCAGATAACAGGCTTATCACCTGAATGGTTCTTTTTGCTCTCTGGGTATACAGTTGAGATGTAGTTTTTTCTTCCAAGAATCTTGAAAGGCTCTGAGGAGCCCAGCCCTGAAAAAGGACCTTCAGTGTTCTCAAGGTTCAGCTTATATCCTGAGACCTGCAGAGAAAAGATGGTCCTAAAGAATCAAGTGCATCCCTAGATTGAGAGCAGCCCTGGACAGGGCTATAATCTGGGTTTCTGAGTAGGCTCTGAGGTCAGAATGCTGACTCCTCCATTGCTGATCTGCGTGATGCTGGGCAAGTCACTTCACCCCTCTAAGCCTTTACATCATATGTTCCTATGGGGCATGTGTTAATATCAGTAAGGTTTTAACACTCAATAAATGGTCACTGCTGCTGTTATTTCTGCAGATGACCCTTCCATGTTGCCCATCATCACCATGCCTGAGACTCTCCGGCCCTAAGCAAGCAGAGAGCAGAACACTGATCAAAACCAGAGCCGGGGCCAGGTGTGGTGGCTCACACCTGTAATTCTAGCACTTTGGGAGGCCGAGGTGGGCAGATCACCTGAGGTCAGGAGTTCGAGAACAGCCTGGCTAACATGGTGAAACCCCATCTCCACTAAAAATACAAAAATTAGCTGGGCATGGTGCCGCGTGCCTGTAATCCCAGCTGCTCAGGAGGCTGAGGCAGGAGAATTGCCTGAACCCAGGAGGCGGAGGTTGCGGTGAGCCGAGATCGCGCCATTGCACTCCAGCCTGGGTAACAAGAGCAAAACTCTGTCTAAAAAAAAAAAAAATACAAAAATTGGCTGGGTAAGGTGGCTGATGCCTGTAATCCCAGCACTTTGGGAAGCTGAGGCAGGTGGATCATTTGAGGTCAGGAGTTCAAGACCATCCTGGCCAACATGGTGAAACCCTGTCTCTACTAAAAATTAAAAATTAGCTGGGTGTGGTGGTACATGCCTGTAATCCAGGTACTCAGGAGGCTGAGGCAGGAGAAGTGCTTGAACCTGGGAGATGGAGGTTGCAGTGAGCTGTGATCACACCACTGCACTACAGCCTGGGCAACAGAGGGAGACTCTGTCTCAAAAAAAAAAAAAAGTAAAGTAAAAATACTAAAATTAGCTAGGTGCGGTGGCACACACCTCTAATCCCAGCTATGAGGGAGACTGAGGCAGGAGAATTGCCTGAAATCAGGAGGCGGAGGTTGCAGTGAGCCCAGATCACGCCACTGCACTCCAGCCGCAGTGACAGAGTAAGACTTTATCTCAAAACAAACAAACCAAATCAGAGCCGGTGCTACTGGCCAGGTAACAATAGTTAATGGGAGGAAGAGCAGGAAGATGGCCAGATTACAAGGGCAGGGACTAAGGGGGCAGGGAGGAGCCAGGGCAGTCTGCCCCAGAGGCTGCTATTAACTGGGTACCACCCAAAGAATCCTTCTCCTACAGACTCCTCATTCCTGAGTCCTGATTCCAGCATACTCATACAAAACTCCATTTTAGTCTCCATTCATCCCTCCCTGGTTTAATCTTTATTTAGAGATAGGGTTTCACTCTGTTGCCCAGGCTGGAGTACAGTGGCACATTCAGAGCTCACTGCAGCCTCAATATTCTGGGCTCAAGTGATCCTCCCACCTCAACTTCCCAAGTACCTGGGACTATAGGCGTGTGCTACCACAGCCAGCTAACTTTTTAATTTTTTTTTTTTATCAAGACTTGCTCTTCTCACCTAGGCTGAAGTGCAATGGCACTATCTTGGCTCACTGCAACCTCCACCTCCCGGGTTCAAGTGATTCTCTTGCCTCAGCCTCCTGAGTAGCTGGGATTACAGGTGCCCTCCACCACACCTGGCTAATTTTTGTATTTTTAGTAGAGATGAGGTTTTGCCATTTGGCCAGGCTGGTCTCGAACTTCTTACCTCATGATCCACCCTCCTCAGCCTCTCAAAGTGCTGAGATTACAGGCGTGAGCCACTGCGGCCAGCCAACTTTTTAAATTTTTTGTAGAGATGAGGAGGTCTCACTATGTTGCCCAGGCTGGTCTTGAACTCCTGGGCTCAAGCAATCCTGCTGCCACGGCCTCCCAAAGTTCTGGGATTACAAGGCATAAGCCACAGCGTCTGGCCTGGCTTATAAACCCAGAGGGAAGAAAAGGGAACTGAGCAGATTCAGCCATAACGACTGCCCTTACCACTGGGCCATCCTCTCTGATGCCTTCAGCCCACTGGGGTTTAGAATGGCTAACAAGACCCCTTGGGTTACTTCCCACAGCTCCTTCTAATGATGGACAAACAAAGCTGGGGACCATCCACTCATGAGAGGGAAATGGGGAAAGTTTATGTGCTTTCAGACATCTGTCATCAAGCATGGAACCAAGGGGCACGGCAACAGAGGAAACATTCCTCTGCTGGCTCCAAACCCAGAAAGATCTGTCAGATGCCACAGGGCTTCTTCCTCTTACATATCCTGTCACCCAGTCAGCAACTCAGCAAATCAAAGCAGTGAGCAGTGAAGGCAGGGTCTTGGGACTCCCAGGCTTCTAGTGTAGCTAGAGAAAGCCCTGCAAAGTGAGTGCTGCCAGAGCTGTGACCACCTCCTCCCTCTGCTCACATCACAGAGGTCTACAGAGTGACTTGTCCAAGGTCACAAGGCTTGCTGTGGCTTCTTGACTCTCCAACCAAAATGTTTCCCTTGGGCACCCCTGCCCAAGTCCTGCACCTTCTGCCAGCCTCTCCTGCCATCCACACGAGAACTCAGGCTGGGGTCCTCATGGAACTCAGAAGCTGAGTGGTCCCACCACTCTCTGCATTTATCCAAGATCTCTCAGCATTCCCACTGCTCACTAGCAAATTACTCGGCCCATTGTTGCATCTTACCTGCTCTTTCTCCCAGATGGGCTGCACCAGAGAAGGTTGCTCCTTCTCCCCAAAGGTCTGGAATCTGATTCTCCTCACTTCCCTCTCTGGCCCGAATTTCTTCTTTCTCAAGACTGCCTAAAATTTGCTGTCAGCAGAGGGAAGAGTTTGGGCTACGTCTGTGCTGGCTTCAGCAGAGCTGGAGGAAACTGAACAGCTCTCACGCTTACTCACGGACTGGAGCCTCAGATCAGACAGGAAAGCAGGCCCAGGAGGGAGAGGTTAGACTAAGGTCACAGTGGGTAGTTGGCAGAGCCAGACTAGAAGCCTGATGCCTACATGCTCAGGCCAGAGATGTAGGCCCCTCAGATCCCAACCGGAGTGTGCTCCCAGTCCAGTCTGGGGTTGGAGCTCTGAAATAGAAAGGGTGAGTTGCATTGTGAGATGGGCCAGGGTACACCCGGGCCAGGAGGCCGGGGATGGGGAGCGGGGCGATTCCCAGGCCTGGAACGAGGCGGGTGGGCTACTGTGTGGTAAACTGGGGAGGAGTTCCGGGACTGGATCCCGGCCTAGGACTAGGTGGAAACCCGCTGGGCAAAGGCGCGGCAGAGCCGGCTCAACAGAGGGGCGGGCGTGAAGCAAGGACGCCGGGATCCGGAGCCCTGCAGGGAAAGGGCCTGGGCTACGTCGCGGTGGCGGGGGCTAAGAGGCTCTAGGATCCTCGGGGATCTAACGCTTCCACCCTCCAGAGCCCGTCTCCGGCCACTTACCTTGGGGGCTTCTTTCCCGAGCCGGCTGCGGAGACACGTGAGCAGGGATCACATGACGCCTGGGGTGGCCGCGGAACACGCTGGGAGTTGTAGTTTTCGCAAGTGTGAATCTTGGACACCTGCTCCCTGCGTCTTCAGGCCAAGCATTGCCCTCAGCCAGCCTCATTTCCAGCCAGCTCGTGTTTATCCTCTTTTATTCTTGGCCTCTTGACCAAATCAAACACTGCTCCTTCCTCCAAGGAAGAGCATTAGGAGATCTGGAGTCTTTGCCAGTCCTGGGGTGGTGGGCCAGAGCTACATGACCTCATTTTCCTCGTAGTCTCTGTCCTTGCCTTCACGTCCACTGCCAGAGCACTAGAGCATTGGAGATTTTTTACTGAGTACTGTGGGGGACCTTGAGCCACACTCTTTCCTGCAAGAGAGTGTGCTACCCTGGGGTCATGGCTACGACCCCAGGGCTTAGATTCTAGAACAGTTTTTGAGGCATTGTAAGTGCTCAGTAAATATTTGTTGAATGAAGAAATGGGCATCCAGCCCCGATTCTGTTCTTGGCTGTGTGTCACTCATAAGTTGTCACATAATCTCCACATCCCAACAGCCTCATCTCTTATCTTGTGGATATGCTCTCCACTGCACCTACCTCTCCATGCAGGTCTTCACCTATGAGGACACGCTGGGAATCCTTAGAAACCCAAGTCACAGTTTTTTTTTTTTTGAGACAGGATCTGTCTCTGTCACCCAGTCTGGAGTGCAGTGGTGTGATCTCCACTTACTGCAACCTCCACCTCATGGGTTCAAGGAATTCTTGTGCCTCTGCCTCCCATGTCGCTGGGACTGCAGGCGTGTGCTACCATGCCAGGCTAATTTTGGTATTTTTAGTAGAGATGAGGTTTTGCCATGTTGGCCAGATTGGTCTTGAACTTTTGATCTCAAGTGATCCACCCGTCTTGGCCTCCCAAAGTGCTGGGATTACAGGCGCAAGCCACTGCACCCGGCCTCCAAAACGCTGATATAAATTGAATCATACTGGCTGGGCACGGTGGCTCTCACCTGTAATCCCAGCACTTTGGGATGCCGAGGTGGGAGGATCACTTGCAGTCAGGTGTTTGGGACCAGCCTAGCCAACATGGTGAAACCCTGTCTCTACTAAAAATACAAAAATTAGCTGGGTGTGGTGGTGCAGGTTAGTAGTCCCAGCTACTTGGAAGGCTGAGGCAGAATTGCTTGAACCCAGGAAGTGGAGGTTGCAGTGAGCCAAGATTGTGCCATTGCACTCCAGCCTGGGCAACAAGAGTGAAACTCTGGCCGGGCATGGTGGCTTACGCCTGTAATCCAAGTGCTTTGGAGGCTAAGGCGGGCAGATCACCTGAGGCTGAGAGTTCAAGACCAGCCTGACCAACATGGTCAAACCCTGTCTTAAAAAAAAAAAAAAAGAGGCCGGGCGTGGTGGTGCAAGCCTGTAATCCCAGCACTTTGGGAGGCCGAGGCGGGTGGATCACGAGGTCAAGAGATTGAGACCATTCTGGTCAACATGGTGAAACCCTGTCTCTACTAAAAATACAAAAATTAGCTGGGCATGGTGGCGTGTGCCTGTAATCCCAGCTACTCAGGAGGCTGAGGCAGGAGAATTGCCTGAACTCAGGAGGCGGAGGTTGCGGTGAGCCGAGATCGCACCATTGCACTCCAGCCTGGGTAACAAGAGTGAAACTGTCTCAAAAAAAGAAAAAAAGAAAAAAAAAAAAGAGTGAAACTCCATCTCTAAATAAATAAATAAATATATTTTTTATTGCATTTTAGGTTTTGGGGTACATGAGCAGAACATGCAAGACAGTTGCGTAGGTACACACATGGCAGTGTGTTTGGCTTCCTTTCTCCCCTTCACCCACATTTGGCATTTCTCCCCAGGCTATCCATCCCCACCTCCCCCTCCCACTGGCCCTCCCCTTTTCCCCCCAATAGACCCCAGTGTTTAGTACTCCCCGCCCTGTGTCCATGTGTTCTCATTTTTCATCACCCGCCTATGAGTGAGAATATGCGGTGTTTCATTTTCTGTTCTTGTGTCAGTTTGCTGAGGATGATGTTCTCCAAATTCATCCATGTCCCTACAAACGACACAAACTCATCATTTCTGATTGCTGCATAATATTCCATGGTGTATATGTGCCACATTTTTCCAATCCAGTCTATCATCAATGGGCATTTGGGTTGATTCCAGGTCTTTGCTATTGTAAACAGTGCTGCAATGAACATTCGTGTACATGTGTCCTTATAGTAGAACGATTTATAGTCCTTTGGATATATACCCAGTAATGGGATTGCTGGGTCAAATGGAATTTCTATTTCTAAGGCCTTGAGGAATAGCCACACTGTCTTCCACAATGGTTGAACTAATTTACCCTCCCACCAGCAGTGTAAAAGTGTCCCTTTGTCTCCACATCCTCTCCAGCATCTGTTGTCTCCAGATTTTTTAATGATCGCCATTCTAACTGGCATGAGATGGTATCTCAATGTGGTTTTGATTTGCATCTCTCTGATGACCAGTGACGATGAGCATTTTTTCATATGATTGTTGGCCTCATATATGTCTTCTTTCGTAAAGTGTCTGTTCATATCCTTTGCCCACTTTTGAATGGGCTTGTTTTTTTCCTGTAAATCTGTTTGAGTTCTTTGTAAATTCTGGATATCAGCCCTTTGTCAGATGGGTAAACTGCAAAAATTTTTTCCCATTCTGTTGGTTGCCGATTCACTCTAGTGACTGTTTCTTTTGCCGTGCAGAAGCTGTGGAGTATAAATATATTTTTTACAAAGACAGGGTCTTGCTGTGTTGCTCAGGCTAGTCTTGAATTCCTGGGCTCAGACAATCCTTCCACCTCAGCTCCCAAAGTGCTAGGATTATAGGTGTGAACCACCTCGACGGTCCTACAACTGTTTTGTGTATTGATCTTATACCCTACAATTCTGCTGAACTTATTTACTAGCTCTAATAGTTTTATTAGTGGAATCTTTAGGATTCAACATAAGATTATACAATCTGTAAATAGAGATCATTTTACATCTTCCCTTCTAATCTGGATTCCTTTTATTATCTAGGCTTGACTGTACTAGAACCTCCAGTACACGAGAGTGGCCGGGTGCTGTGGCTCACGCCTGTAATCCTAGCACTTTGGGAGGCTGAGGTGGGTGGATTGCCTGAGCTCAGGAGTTCAAGACCAATTTGGGCAACATGGCAAAACCCTGTCTCTACTAATTATACAAAAAAAAAAAAAAAAAAATTAGCCAGGCGTGGTGGTGCGTGCCTGTAATCCCAGCTACTCGGGAGGCTGAGGTATGAGAATGGCTTGAACCTGGGAGGCAGAGGTTTTGCCACAGCGCTCCAGCCTGGGTGACAGAGCAAGACTCTGTCTCAAAAAAAAAGAAAAAAAAAAGAGATGGGAGTGGACATCGTTGTTTTGTTCCTTGCTTCAAGAGACAATCACTCATCGATTCATGATTAAGTATGATGTTGCCTGTGGATTATTTGTAGATGCGTTTTATCAGGGTAGGAATTTCCTGTGGATTGCTGGTTTGTTGAGTGTTTTTATCATGAATGGGTGTTGGATTTTGTCAGATGGTGGTTTTTTTTCTGCTTCTTTTGAGATTATGTGATGTTTCTACTTATTTTATTGATATGGTATATTACATTGATTTTCCTATGTTGAATCAGTTTTGCATTCCTGGGGTTAACACTTCTTGGTGATGGTATAGTCTATGTGAAGCTGTCAAATCCTCAGTTTTTCTTGGTGGGAAGTCTTTGGATTTCTTCGTGGGAAGTCTTTGGATTTTTCATTCAATCTCTTAACTATTCAAATTGTCTATTTCTCTTTGAGTCTGTTTTGGTAATGTTTTTCTTTGAGATGGGGGTCTCTGTTGCCCAGGCTGTGGTGCAAGCGTGACTAACTGCACCTTTGTCTCCTGAGCTCAGGTGATCCTCCCACCTCCCAAGTAGCTGGGACCACAGGCATGCGCTGCCACACCCAGACAATTTTTTGTATTTTTTGGTAGAGACAGAATTTTGCCATGTTGTCCAGGCTGGTCTCGAACTCCTGACCTCAAGTGATCTGCCCACCTTAGCCTCCCAATGTGCTGGGATTACAGGTGTGAGCCACCACGCCTAGCCAGTTTTGGAAGTATTTTTCTAGGAATTTGTCCATTTAATGTAGGTTATCTGGTTTGCTGGCATATAATTTTCATAGTATTATTTTATAATCCTTTTTATTTCTGTAAGGGCAGTATTAATGGCTTCTATTTTATTCCCGATTTTTAGCAGTCTGTCTTGGTCAGTATAGTTAAAGCTTTGTCACTTTTGTTGATTCTTAAAAAAAAAAATTTCTGATTTTCTCTATTTTTTTTAATTGTTTCATTTATTAAGCTCCGTTTTTTATTATTTTCCTTTCTTCTGCTTGCTTTGGGTTTAATTTGATCTTTTACTTATTAATTTCTTAAGATGGAACATTAGATTATTGAATATAGATTTTTTTTTTTTTTTTGAGATGGGAGTCTTACTCTGTCACATAGGTTGGAGTGCAAAGGTGCCATCTTGGCTCACTGTAACTTCCACTTCCCAGGTTCAAACAATTCTCCTGCTTCAGCCTCCCAAGTAGCTGGTATTACAGGCATGTGCCACCATGCCTGGCTAATTTTTTGTACTTTTAGTAGAGATGGGGTTTTACCATGTTGGCCAGGCTGGTCTCCGATTCCTGACCTCAGGTGATCCACCCACCTTGGCCTCCCAAAGTGCTGGGATAACAGGTGTGAGCCACTGCACCTGGCCTAATTTCCGTATTTGTAGTAGAGATGGGGTTTCACCATGTTGGCCAGGCTGTTGTTGAACTCCTGGCCTCAAGTGATCCACCCTCCTTGGCCTCCCAAAGTACTGGGATTACAGGTGTGAGCCACTCAAAACTTTTTAAAGGGCCCTATAGACAATTCATTCCCCAGCTTTTTTCTTTTGTTTTTCTTTCTTTTTTTTTTTTTTTTTGAGACCAGCTCTTGCTCTGTCACCCAGGCTGGAGTGCAGTGGAACAATCTCGGCTCACCTCAACCTCTGCCTCCTGGTTCAAGTGATTCTTGTGTCTCAGCCTCCTGAGTAGCTAGAATTACAGGTGTACACCTGCACATCCAGCTGATTTTTGTATTTTTAGTAGAGTTGGGTTTCACTGTGTTGCCCAGGCTGGTCTCGAACTCCTGAGCTCAAGAGATCCACCTGCCTTGGCCTCCCAAAGGGCTGGGATTATAGGCATAAGTCACCGCACCAATCCCTGATACAGTTTTGAGTCTTTTGGTTTTTAAGGCTACCATGGAGCTGGGAGGAGGGGGATGGAAATAGGGTAAGTTAAATGCCACAATTCTTGCTGTTCTTACTGAGATTGTCACTTTTCTTTCCTTTTTTTTTTTTTTAGACAAGACATCTTCATTACTTAACCTTTTAAACAGTCACTTGCCTATTCAATTCTGAAACTGTTGTCTTTCCTTCCCCTGCTCTGATGTACAAGCTTGTTGTAAAAACAATGCAGAAACATATACACCAATCTAAGTCTGTGAAATATGACCAACTTTCCCCCACCCTATTTCCAAAGTTAAAAAGAAGAAAAAAGGCTGTTTAAGAACAGAACTCTTCCCCAGTTTCCACCAAATTATTTCCTTAATTCTTAAAATCCTCACATAATTTCTTCATCTCCAGCCAAAGTATCGGTTGTGGGAAAAACATGAATTTGTGCAGTCCAACACTTACTACTCTCTTGAGGGGAGGGCAGTCCTGTCCCTTCAAGCTCAGTGAAGGCAGCGACCAGGTCCTTCTGAGTCCCCGTACAAGTACCTAGAACTTAACATTTAGTATTTATAGTTCTTGGTTTACACGACGGCGAGAAACTATTACTTCCTCCTCTTTCCTCCTGGACGCTATCCTCCTTTTCTCTTGACACCAAAGCCAGGCGGCCCGGAATTCATCTTGCCTCCCAAGCCCCCTTTCCTCTTCCCTCCCTGGTTTGGCGGGCCCCCTTTCCTCTTGCCCCCAAGCCCCTGCCGGCCTCCCTTTCTCTTGCCCTTCTGGCTCATTTTCCTCTTCTTGGCAGCCTCCTCCTGGTCGTCCTCCCTCATCTGCTTATTGGTGGCCCTCATCACATCCAGCTGAGCCTTCTTGCTGTACATGACACGAAGCAGCTCCAACTGATTCTTTTGCTCTGCGGCAAAGTACCCGAAAAGGGGTTGAAATTTCCTCTTCTTGCCGGAGCCCCGGGGCGCCCTGGGGAGACGTTCCTGGAAGCGCCCCACAGAGGATGTGGAGACCGTGGCACCTGCATGGCGTGGCCCAGCTCCTCCTTACTCTGGTGTTCTGTAGGGTGCAAGCCGGCTGCACTGGTCAGCTGCATCTTGTGCGTGCGGGCCAAGTTACGCAGCCGGTTCAGCTCGTTCTTGGCCACTCGTTCCTTCTTGGCCTGAATCCGCTTGGCGAACTGGTCCTCCAAGGGGTCAGCATTGCCGGGCACCTCAATCAGCCATTCCTTAGTGTCGTGCCGGGCGCGCTGGTAGCCCCAGCGCCGCCGCCACTGGCCGCTTACCTCGTCCCACACCAGGTTGGTCTTCTTGGGACGGATGCCCTTGAAGCGCGCGAACTGCTGCCAGCGTGTAAGTGGCCGCGGCCGGGGCAGAGGCTTCTCTCGCGGCAGGCGTGTGGTAGGCTTGGGCAGCCGCGCCACTATTGCCTCTTCCACGCGCTCCGTGGGCAGCTGCCATAGCTGGTTGATGAGCAGCTGCGTGTTGTTTCGCGCCAGGGCCCGCAGCTCGGCCTCCGGCGTGGGTCCGGCGCACCGCAGCCCTGTCGGGGGGGTTCCGGTCCGAAGCCAGCAGGTTGCCCAGGTCAAACTCCAGCTCCAGCTCCTTGAGCACCGTGATGCGCTGCAACTTCTCTGCCTAGTCCTGCTCCGCTTTTGCCAGCAGCTCCTCCACGCTCTGGCTCTCCATGGCTCCAGCTAGGCTCACTAGCTTTGGGGCTGCAGCTGAAGTTACTTTTCCCACAGTGGCAGCCCAAACTCCGGCCACATAACCACGTGTGGCTGTCGGGATGCCCAAACCGGAAGAGGAGATTGTCATTTTTCTTGAATAAACTCTCCTGGGATAGTTGGAAGCCTTTGCTTCATTCCCAGAGTTTTAATCATTGCTTTTATGAAAGAGAGGATTCTCTCTTCCACATTCTGCCATTTCAAAAATGTTCTCTCTCTCTCTCTTTTTTTTTTGAGACGGAGTTTCGGTCTTGTTACCCAGGCTGGAGTGCAATGGCGCGATCTCGGCTCACCGCAAGCTCCGCCTCCTGGGTTCAGGCAATTCTCCTGCCTCAGCCTCCTGAGTAGCTGGGATTACAGGCACGCGCCACCATGCCCAGCTATTTTTTTGTATTTTTAGTAGAGACGGGGTTTCACCATGTTGACCAGGATGGTCTCGATCTCTTGACCTCGTGATCCACCCGCCTCGGCCTCCCAAAGTGCTGGGATTACAGGCTTGAGCCACCGCGCCCGGCCTCAAAAATGTTCTCATAAGAATCATTCTTCTTTTTTTTTTTTTGAGATGGATTTTTGTTCTTGTCGCCCAGGCTGGAGTGTACTGGTGTGATCTCAGCTCACTGCAACCTTTGCCTCCTGGGTTCAAGTGATTCTCCTTCCTCAGCCTCCTGAGTAGCTGGGATTACAAGCACCTGTCACCACACCTGGCTAATTTTTGGAATTTTTAATAGAGATGGGGTTTCACCATGTTGGCCAGGCTGGTCTCGAACTCCCAACCTCAGGTGATCCACCTGCCTTGGCTTCCCAAAGTGCTGGGATTACAGGCGTGAGCCTGGCCAAGAATCATTCTTCATTTTCCACTTCCTCCAGTTTTGATGAAGAGTTTGGATGGGGATCAGATGGAGCAGATGACTTTGTTCCTTAAACCCCTTTGCCTACATGATCCAGTCATTCCTTAAGACACAATGCACTTTGTGGTGTGGCCCTGCCTATCCTGCTAAGCAGATCTCTTGCTACTCCAATTTTTAAGCTCTAACTTGTTTCCAGGCCTTCCACTATGCTTTTGCATCTGCTATGGAATATGCTAAACTGGGCCAACTCAGAATAGGTCTTGAGACGTTTGTTGAAATTGAGAAAGAGAAGCTTTTTCTTTCATTCTCTCTTTTTTTTTTTTTTGTTTGAGAGGGAGTGGACTTACTAGAAAAAATTCCTGCAGCTGCTGGTGAGTCCCTTCTCACTGTTGATAGGACGGCCTTCTCAGTAATGAAGCCAGCACCCGTCAGGTGCTGTGGCTCATACCTGTAATCCCACCACTTTGGGAGACTGAGGCAGGTGGATCACTTGAGGTCAGGAGTTCGAGATCAACCTGGCCAACATGGTTAAACCCCATCACTACCAAAAATACAAAAAATTAGCTGAGTGTGGTGGCAGGCGCTTGTAATTCCATCTACTTGGGAGGCTAAGACAGGAGAATTGCTTGAACCCGGCAGGTGGAGGTTGCAGTGAGCCAAGATTGCACCACTGCACTCACTCCAGCCTGGGTGATCCAGGGAGACTCTGTCTCAAAATAAAAAAAAAAAAAAAAAAAAAAAATGAAGCCAGCGCCAGCACCAGCAGTAAAAGTGAAGCTGACAAATGAAGTGGAGACGGATTCTTGGCAACACAGAGCACCTGGCTCTAGCTGTTAGACCCACCAGCTAGAGCCACTGTTACACCAGCCTTGGGCTGTTCTCCAGAACATGTACATGAAGTAATTCCCTTTTTATTCTTGTGCCAGTCAAGCTGGCTTTTGGCACTTGGAACTAAAGGCGCCCTAATTGATGAAGTCTATAGTCTCAAAGCCAAGATGGGGAAAAAAATAAACAGTGCCTTCGAGTTCTAAGCACAAATGACCTGCCATGGTATTTGCTCACAAAAGTTTATTAAAGGTTGCTATGGGCATCAAATAAGATTGTGTACATTTTTTTTCTTATTTTTGCGACGGGGTTTCACACTCTGTTACCCAGGCTGCAGTGCAGTGGCATGATTTTGGCTCACTGCAGCCTCTGCCTCTGGGTTCAAGTGATTCTCCCTGCCTCTAGAGTAACTGAGATTACAGGTGCCCAACATCACACCCAGCTAATTTTTGTATTTTTAGTAATGATGGGGTTTCACCATGTTGGCCAGGCTGGTCTTGAACTTCTGACCTCAAGTGATCTGCCTGCCTTGTCCTCCAAAAGTGCTGCAATTACAGGCGTGAGCCACCAAGGCTGGCCAATCATGTACATTTTTAAGTGCCAGGTAAATAAAGGGTTAAATATAAACCTGACAGAAATTCAGCTGAAATTCCTTCACATTGCTCCAGGAATTGGTCCAAAAAGATCTTTAGATATTGAGTAACTTCCTTTTTTAGATTTGGACACTGAGAGAATGGCCTTCATTTTTTTTTTTTTTAGTGTATATATATGTACACATATACTTAAAAAAATTTTTTTTAGAGACAGAATCTCTCTGTTCCTCACGCTGGAGTGCAGTGGTGTGATCTCAGCTCACTGTAACCTCCGCCTCCTGGGTTCCAGCAATTCTCTTGCCTCAGTCTCCTGAGCAGCTAGGATTACAGGTATGTGCCACCATGCCTGGCTAACTTTTTGTATTTTTAGAAGAGACGGGGTTTCACCATGTTGGTCAGGCTGATCTCGAACTCCTGACCTTGTGATCCACCTGCCTCGGCCTCTCAAAGTGTGAGATTACAGGCGTGAGCCACTGTGCCCAGCCTCAATTTTTGTATTTTTAATGTTTATGTTTTTAGTAGAGATGGGGTTTTACCATGTTGGTCAGGCTGATCTTGAACTCATGACCTTGTAATCCACCTGCCTTGGCCTCCCAAAGTGCTGGGATTACAGGTGTGAGCCACTGCACCCAGCACATGTAATAAATTTTAATTGAAGAAATTTTTACAAGTGTTTATATACACATGCAACCACCACTCAGATTGACACAATGTTTCCAGCATCTTAGAAGCCTCTTTTGTGCCTCAAGTAATATCCCCCTCTAGAACAGGCAACCACTATTCTTGCTGATGTCACCACAGATTCATTTTGCCAGTTCCTGAACTTCATATAAATTAAATTATACAGTATTTGTTCACTGTAGTCTAGTTTCTTTTGGTCAAAAATATGAGATTCATCCAGGTTTCTCTAAGTAGTTTTATATCTATATATAAAACCATATGTATATGTGGGTGTATATACATATAGTTTATATATATATTTCTCTCTATATATAAAATACCTGAGACTGGGCCAGATGTGGTGGCTCACACCTCTAATCCCAGCACTTTAGGAGGCCGAGGCGGGCAGATCACCTGAGGTCGGGAGTTCAAGACCACCCTGACCAACATGGAGAAACCCCATCTCTACTAAAAATACAAAATTAGCCGGCCATGGTGACCTGTGCCTGTAATCCCAGCTACTCAGGAGGCTGAGGCAGGAGAATTTCTTCAACCTGGAAGGTGGAGGTTGTGCTGAGCCAAGATTATGCCATTGCTTTCCAGCCTGGGCAACAAGAGCAACACTCCATCTCAAAAACAAAACAAAACAAAACAAGACCCCGAAACTGGATAATTTGTAAAGAAAAGAGGTTTATTTTTTTATTTTATTTTATTTTCCTTCAGCAAAGACTTTATTTATCAGAAGGGCATTATGCTTGACCTCCAAATTTGGCTGACAATTTGCTGATAAGATTCATTACCTTTGGGTTGCTCTGGTATTTTGACATATTTGCTGGGTTCTGAGCCACATCCTGGAAGGCCACCATAACTTCTGGATCCTGCATGGCTGCACGAACCTCTGGATCACTAAGAATTTCATTGAGTCCAGGCATTCCGGCCATTCCAGGCATGCCCCCTCCCATTCCAGGCATTCCCCCAGGAAAGCCACTTGGAAAAGAGCCATACTGAGCTCCTGACTGTCGTCTGGCTTTTTCCTCCCTCTGGGCTCTCTCATGCTCTCCTCGAGCCTTCTTAACTCTCTATTCTTTCTTTGATCTCTCGCTCTTCACGTTTTCGCTCATACCTTCTCCGATGTTCTGCAATTTTCTGTGCCCTAGGTTGAACTTCTTTCAGCATTGCACTCGCATCTTCATCATAATCCAATTTACAGGCAAGGGCAAGATCATGGGCTGCTTCTTCCCAGTGGCCTAGAAGTCTGTGTGCTTTCCCTCGCCACTTGTAAGGCTGAGCTGAATCACGATTTATTTCAATGGCTCTGTCACAGTCTCAGATGGCAGCATTTGGCTTCCGTAATTTGATGAAGACATTGGCCCTCTTGGCATACAAAATGGCCAAGTGGGGATTCAGCTTGATGGCATCTGTGAATAAGTCAATGGCTTTCTGCAATTCACCATCATTTAGGGCTTCAGTAGCTGTCACTTTCTTATCATTTGCCTGATCCATCATCACCTCTGTCATCTCTGCATTTTCACCTCCCATTTCTTAAGGGGTATCAGTGTCTGGTTCAATCACACCTTCATTATCAATTTCTAGATCACTTTGCTCACTTGATGGTTCGTCTGCCTTTAAGTCTTCCTCTACCTTCTTACTATCAGGTTTTTCTTCCTTGGTATTTTCTTCTGATTTAGCTTTCTGAGTAGCAGGTGGTATTTTACCCCCAATACGCTCCACCCACTCCCTCAGGAAGCGCATTTCCTTGGTGTGCAGAATGCTTGGATACTGCTTACACATCTTCACAAAGGCCCGAAGCTCGTTCACTTTGCGGGGGTCCATGGTTGGGAGGCGGTGGGCGAAGCTGAGGGTCTGCAGCCCACTTCCAGGCCGAGGCGCTGGCTCGGTGTGACCGTGCAGAAGGGCAAAAAGAGGTTTAATTGACTCACTGTTTCACATGGCTGAGAGGCCTCAGGAAACTTACAATCATGGCATAAGGTGAAAAGGAAGCAAAGACCTTCTTCACATGGTGGCAGAAGAAAGCCATTCTTCTAAAAGTAAAGTTCATTCTTCTGTTGATGAATATTTGGGTTGTTTTTAGTGTCAGCAATTGATATGGTTTGGCTCTGTGTCCCCTCTCAAATCTCATCTTGAATTGTAATCCCCATGTGTCAAGGGAGGGAGGTAATTGGATCATTGGTTTTCCCCACGCTGTTCTCGTGATAGTGAGTTCTCATGAGCTCTGATGATTTTATAAGCGTCTGGCATTTCCCCTGCTTGCACTTCTCTCTTCTGCCACCATGTGAAGAAGGTCTTTGCTTCCTTTTCACCTTATGCCATGATTGTAAGTTTCCTGAGGCCTCTCAGCCATGTGAAACAGTGAGTCAATTAAACCTCTTCTTTACAAATTATCCAGTTTCGGGTTTTGTTTTTGAGATGGAGTGTTGCTCTTGTTGCCCAGGCTGGAAAGCAATGGCATGATCTTGGCTCAGCACAACCTCCACCTTCCGGGTTGAAGAAATTCTCCTGCCTCAGCCTCCTGAGTAGCTGGGATTACAGGCACATGTCACCATGGCTGGCTAATTTTGTTTTAGTAGAGATGGGGTTTCTCCATGTTGGTCAGGGTGGTCTTGAACTCCCGACCTCAGGTGATCTGCCTGCCTCGGCCTCCTAAAGTGCTGGGATTAGAAGTGTGAGCCACCACATCCGGCCCAGTCTCAGGTATTTCTTTATAGCAGTGTGAAAACAGACAATACAGCAATTAAGAATAGGTATTGTGAAGGTTCTTGTTGATGTTTTTGGGTTGACATTTACAAATTTTTCTTGACTGTATACCTAAGAATGGAATTGCTGGGTCACAGGACAGGAATACGCTATGGTTTCCGTATCTGACCCCTCCAAATTTCATGTTGAAATTTGATCCGAAATGTTGCAGGTGCAGCCTAATGGGAACTGTTTGGGTGATGAGGGTGGATCCCTCTTGAATGGCTTGGTGCTGTCCTTATGGTCATACATTCTCTATTAGTTGACAGAAGTTTCCTTCACAGCTGACTGTTTAGAAGAGCCTGGTGCCTCTCTTCCCCCTCCTGCTTCCTGTGTCACCATGTGATATCTGTCTACACCAGCTTCCCTTTGCCTTTGCCAAGAATGATAGAGGCCCGAGGTCCTTACCAGAGCAGATGCTGGTGTCATGCTTCTTGTACAGCTTGTAAAATCATAAGCCAAATAAACCTCTTCTTTATAAATTACCCAACTCTGCTATTCCTTAATCCTTGTCTTGTTTGCTCTGAGAATACTCACTGGCAATGCTTGTGGCTTCAACATTTACCCTCATATAAATTTGCCATGAAATATCTCGCTTTTATTATTTTGGCATCACTATAGTATAACAACTTTGGAAACAAAAGACATTGTTCTATTATAGCATTGTGTTTTTAGTAGTGGCATTTTCATTTACTATAGTAATTGTCATTGAAAATGTCAAATCCTAGGAAATGTAGCATTCCTATGCATGATGTTAACATCACTCTCAAATAGTTGTTAGCCAAAGATTCATTTGATGAATCTGATTTTTCAAAAATAGACAAGTCTGATGATTTAGGTGACTCTGATGTTAGTCATGTTTAGAAATAACTCCAAGAACAGTTTTTCTATTTTATTTTCACATTGAAAATCAGATTTGCTTCAGCCTCAAAGAGCATGTTTATGTAAAATTAACGAGCGCTGACAGCAAGCTGCATTTTTCTAAATGGGAAGGGGTTAATAGCAACACAAAATGACGAAGACAGCGTATGTGTAGCTTTAGTAAATACTGACACTATTTACTCCACTGGCAAAGTGAGAGCTCTAGTTCCACATCTGTATTGATCTTGGTGTTGTCCATCTTAATTTTAACCATTTAGATGTGTGCACCTTTTAATTTTTAATTAAATTAATTAATTATTTTTTAAAGATGAGGTTTCACCATGTTGGTCAGTGAGCCACCATGCCTGGCCTTCTAATTTTTTTTTTATAGAGACAGTGTTTTGCCATGTTGGCCAGACTGGTCTCGAACTCCTGACCTCAAGTGATCTGCCAGCCTTGGCCTTCCAAAGTGCTGAGATTTCAGGTGTGAGTCACCATGCCTGGTCGATGGGTGCATCTAACAGTAGTTTTGTCTCCCTGATGAATAATGATATTGAATACTTTTTCATATGCTTTGAATATGCATATCCAAATTTGGATATCTTCTTTTGTGAAGTGCCTGTTCAAGTCTCTTGCTCATTTTATTTTATTTTATTTATTTTTTATTTATTTTTTTGAGATGACGTTTCGCTTGTTACCCAGGCTGGAGTGCAATGGCGCGATCTTGGCTCACCGCAACCTCCACCTCCTGGGTTCAGGCAATTCTCCTGCCTCAGCCTCCTGAGTAGCTGGGATTACAGGCACGCGCCACCATGCCCAGCTAATTTTTTGTATTTTTAGTAGAGACGGGGTTTCACCATGTTGACCAGGATGGTCTTGATCTCTTGACCTTGTGATCCACCTGCCTCGGCCTCCCAAAGTGCTGGGATTACAGGCGTGGGCCACTGCACCTAGCGTCTCTTGCTCATTTTAAAAACTGGATTGTCTTACTGATTTGGGAGAGTCCCGGATACAACTGGATTCTAGTGTTATTTTTTTTAAACAGGAGGCCCTGGGTACTTCAGCCCAGGTTGGAGTACAGTGGCACAATCATGGCTCACTGCAGCCTCAACTTCCCTGGGCCCAAGTGATCCTCCTACCTTAGCCTCCCGAGGAGCTGGGACTACAGGTAGGTACAACCACACCCAACTAATTTTGTATTTTCAGTAGAGATGGGGTTTTGCCATGTTGCCCAGGCTGGTCTCAAATTCCTGGGCTGAAGGGATCTACCCAACTAAGCCTCCCGAAGTGCTAGAATTACAGGTGTGAGCCACCACTCCTGGCCTGGATTCTGGTGTTATTTATATGCATTGCCAATATTTTCTTCATCTGAGGACTGCTTTTCCACTTTATTGGTTTCCTTTGTTGAACAAAAATCCTTAATTTTGATGAAGTCTAATTATGGTCAGTGCTTGTGTCTTGTTTAAGAAACATTTGCCTAAAGTTTTGAAGATTTTTCTTTTTTTTTTTTTCTGAGGCAGAGTTTCACTATGTTGCCCAGGCTAACGTGCAACGATGGTGATCTTGGCTCACTGCAACCTCCACCTCCTGGTTTCAAGTGATTCTCTTGCCTCAACCTCCTGAGTAGCTGGGATTACTTACATGCATGCACCACTATGCCTGGCTAAGTTTTGCATTTTTTTAGTAGAGACGGGGTTTCTCCATATTGGCCAGGCTGGTCTCAAACTCCTGACCCTCAGGTGATCTGCCCACCTCAGCTTCCCAAAGTGCTAGGATTACAGGAGTAAGCAACCGCATCTGATCTCTTTTTTGAGATGGAGTTTTGCTCTTGTTGCCCAAGCTGGAGTGCAATGGTGTGATCTTGACTCACTGCAACCTCTGCCTCTCGTGTTCAAGTGATTCTCCTGCCTCAG